TTTTTCTTCCCTTTATTCAACTTGATAACCTTAATGCTAAGCCAAGTTATACCAATTTCATCGGTCACTTTTGTCAGGGTATCGCGTCTCATCGACTGCCACACCTTAATTTCGTGTAAATAGCTTCTGGCGAGAGCTTCCTTCTTAAACTCTCTCTTTCTCCTTGTGAATAATCACTTCATCCAAGTTGCACTCGACCATGCTCGTGCCCTTGTACCGTCACAGCTTTCGGGACTTTATATTGGCCAATCCTATTGAACACCCTAAGTGCAGTTGGTACAGCTGCAATACACGTTGCAGGCAGTCATGCCAAGAAGGCCGTGGCCAAGTTTCCGTTTCCTTGCAGCTGGGATAGGCCACAGCGAAGGTATCTCAGGTGAATGGAATAATTTAATCTTCTAACTACATCGACATTGATGGACTGTGGAGGCGATCCAAATTTGGAATCAGCCGCTTCCCGCATGCATTCTTGTGGGCAAATTTGAAGACAGCTCATTGCTCGCAGCACTTGATGTCTTCAATCTGAAGACTATTTTGACAATCTTCTTCTGCATGTCATTCCTGCGACGTTTCCGCAACACTTACCGCATATTCCTAGCATAATCGCGTCTAGGGCTTGGAGTTGCGATCGGTGTCCGTACAGCACCATCGGGAGCAGAATCCTGTTTGCAAACTTTGCAATTCAATCCTCCGACGCTGATCTCAGAAAGCGGGATGAGATCCCACGCAGTCGCGTAGTCTTTGCCCACCGAAATCGTAACTCCAGCTTTGTGCCACGGAGCATCAGGGTCGCCGTCCTGCTTCTGCGCGTCGGCGGCCGACCTCTCTGCTATCAACAGCGTGTGGCGCCGGTCACCGCTCCGAGCGTTGCAGTCAAACGCCACGAGGTCACCATCTGGGCAGCGTCCATTCGTGGCTAGCACCGTTACGAATGGTATATGCGTCGCGGGACACTTGACGCGAATGAGATGTCCAAAGCCAAAGTTGAGCGTGTCCATGACAGACTGCGACTGTAGCTGCATAAGATCAGCCCAGACGAACCTGTACCGCTCTGACTCTAATATGGGATAGAACTTGTTTTCCGCGCGTTTCTTGATGAAGTGAAGCGCACGCTGGTAATTGTTTGCAAGGATCTGCGCAATCATGATGATTTGCTTGTTAGAGTATCGCCCAGCGCCGAATGCGACGGCGATGTCGATGGCGGATGACCAAACGCCGCGAGCGTAGAGAATGAGAGTCAGGTCGCGATGTACGAAATCGCTGCTGCACCGGTACACCGGACCAAGTTTATGCAGAACGGTACAAGTTCCGATTCGTCGCGCGGCGAAGCGCACCGTATTTTCGGAGACAATCACCGGCCCGTACGGCGTCACGGCGTCCAGCCCTGAGGCAGCCGACAGCATGTGTCGCTTCGGGCAGGGAACACCCTCGCACGTAAGCTCAGCGGCGTCGTCGCCGGCAGCCGGCATGGCAGGGGGCACCATCAGCCAGCGCAGGTGCCCGGCCGCAAGCGCCGCCTGCGTCCACCTCCTCCACGCGCTCTCCCTCGACTCGCGCGGCCGGACGCCGATCTCGACGGTCGAGACGGCCATGGCGCCGTACACCTCGTCGACGGGGAGGAAGGCCCGCCGGTTGCCGAACATCTCCATCACCCGCGTCGGGTCCGTCGCGCCGGTGCGCCGCGCCGCCATGCCGGAGAAGTGAGAAAAGAGCAGCTAAAACCTGTTCGTCGCTGGGTCACCTCGGCTCGTGCACTCCGCAACCTCCCACTCCTCGCAGAGCCTGGGGATGGCGACAAAGAGCTCATCGCTGATCGAGACGGGCTCCAGATCGGCGCCGATCCACAGGACATCCGCCGCGAGCAAATACTCCTGCAGCGTCCAGACGCGCGTGCCCCAGGCGGCGCTCGTGAAGCGGGAGAGTACTTCCATGGCTTGCACAAGCTTGGCTCGCCCAGGCCCAAGGACCCAGTACTCTCTGGCACCTTCGTCTGTCCATGACTCCGCGTCCCAGATAGCGAGGGCCTCGTCCAGCTCGGCCGAGCCGTGGTCGACTTGCTCTTGCGTCAGGTTTAGTTTGTTTGTAAGGATGATTAAGACGACTTTGGCATCGCCATATATGTGGCTCATGAGCGGCATCTGCTCGCACATGTCGTCCTCGGAGTCTTGAATGATGCAGAATAGGTCGATCCAGCAGTATCCCACTTGATGGAGACCTCGTTGTTGGATCGTTTGCCTAATGGCACCGCTGCCGAATGACTGGCCAAAGTTCCCATGTTTGGGAAAGATGCAGTCCGACCAGGCGTGAGAAATGGCTAGATAGGGCGGCGCCTGTCCAATCTCAAAAGACTCAACTGCCCAGGTGGCAGTGTTGACGAGTCTAAATGTCCTCATCCTAGGGTGTCATTTCGTTTTTTCCTACTTATTAAGTTTAGATCTGGATAAATACAACGCGAAAGTCTCGGTCTGCAATTATTCTGAGTGGCTGCCTGCAAGATCACATGGGTTAGGCTATGCATGCAACGTGGCGGAGGCAACCTGCTAAGGCGCTTTTTATGCAGGCCACTTACACATTGTTGTGAGATGGGACGCAGCGGGATGCGGAAGGGCTGATAAAAACGATGCACACCCAGTGCAGGCCGTCCTTCAATATGTTTCTAACGCCAAAGTAAACATGATCTATTTTGCAGCACCATGGACCCCCTCTCGCGATCAAGACTGCTCTCGGTCAATGACGCGAAGTATGTTCATGTGGCTAAGGGACGCAGATGGTTACCCTGTTACTGAGCAAGCCATCCGTGAGCTTGTGTGGATTGCTGATGAATCAAGCTCAGACGAAGAAAGTGATATACTTGAAGGGGACGGTGGCACAAACTTAGGTAAAAACGTTGGACCGTGGCTAGCAAAGGGAACTACGACCCGAAGCTACACGTTGTAGACGCTAATAGATTTTTCTTATCGGCCCAGATCGGTGATATATTAGAGGGCAGCTTCAAGATGGTCACTTCTCGACTGCTTGAGCAGGGAGAGACTGGAAAACACCTTTGGTCTTGAGGTGAGCAAGTAAAATAAAGCAACTGTCCGCAAGTGGCGGGTGATGCTGTCGCAACCTAACTGGTTAGGTCCAACGCGTCCGCACTACAAAATTAATACTGCCTTTGGCCTTTACGGGATTCTCTTGGGAGGGTTGCTGGGGCACACTGGGTAGCGCTGTCTTATCCACTAGTCACCCGTCCTGTGAAAGACTGAGCCGCAATGCGAACAGCAACGTTGAACAAGCTGACTAGAGCTCGCTCTTTATAGGTCGCTCAGCAGCCCACGCAGGATTTTCGCTGCTGCCTATTTTTGCCTTTAATACAACGTACTATTGGCTGTTCATGCTTTGAACTACTATTTTGCCGCCTCTCTGGTTGCCGACACTGGCGCTCCTATGCTTTCTTTGATGTCTCCGTGCTCTTGCGACACTTTGCCTTTGTAATTCTCATTGCCAGAAATAAGGTACCACCCGCTAGCGGGGTTGGAGTTGTGTCCGATCCCCCGGAGTCAGTATTCCAGAGAACCCCACCTTCGAGTACGAACCTGCGATTACCGTGTCTGTGCCTGGGGCCGCTCACCGATCGAAATTATTCCCGCTAACGCACTAATATTCCCCTCCATGCCCTGAGGTGTGGCTACGATTGCCAGAGGACTCTTGCTATAATTGTATCGTGTGGTTGCTTTAAATTGGGAGATTCGTGCTCACACTGCAAACCTCACTCATGCACTACGTATTCTTACGTCATGGAGTAAAGGCACCTGTATCGACCCGCGTCAAGCCTCACAAAGTGGAAGAGCCTTTGAACAGATAGAGAGCCATGAGTACTGTACCATAGATATAAAAATTCCACGATATCTATGTGCGTTTGCGATTTGGACTACGTGAGCTGCGTAGCTGACTTCTTTCGCTGTTGCGAAGATGTACCACCCACTTTTTGCCTAGTGGCAAATGCGCACAGCAGCGGACCAGTCGTCTGGTGCAATCCCGTGCGGCTTGAGGTTGTCATCCAAGCTAAGACTCCATGCATGCGCCCCGGGCGAAGCCACTTAGGATAGTATTTGCCGTCGACCGAGGTTGCGAGGCCAGTAGAGCTCTCCGAAGCGCCAGCGAGCCTGAATTTTTGGTAAAGGTCGAAGTGACAATTATGCAAGTACTCCGCTAAAGTCGTCTTTCGGTTTTTGCGTCGCTCTGTTTCCTTTTCGCGTCGCTCGTTCTCCTCTCACACCCTAGCTTTCCCTAAGCTGCTTTTTAAGATCTTCGATTTCTTTCTTGGACATCGTGGTGGCAATAATGGTTAAAGAAGCTGGCGGCCAACACGCATAAACAAGATTGGCTGCGCCGACCCGGCGGCCCCTACAGGGGCACCCACGCGACTGTAGAGGGGGCGGAGCCTGTCATAGGATAACGTAAGCCGCTGATGTTGGCCTGATATATGCATATAGCTTATAGTATGGTTACAAGAATATCTACAGATTCTACCAAGACTCCTGCCATGAATTTCCCCAAACTTGCTGTATGAAACTGCCTGCCTGCCGCATCGCTATTTCCTTCTGATGAATGGAAAATGCTGCTGAAGGTTCCAATCAAAATGGACAGGACAGTGGCGATATCGTTGCGCTATGTGTCTTTAGATCCTTCTAAATGACACACCTTGTCCGAGACACGGGAAGCGAGTCACCAAGTGAATAATCCGCGATGACTTTGAGCTGTTCCTCGGTCAGCGTCATTCGAGGCTGGTGGTGTTCGTGATGGCGTAGGACTCTGGGGAATAGAATGTAAACAGATGAGTGGCGCGGTAGGTCACGTTTGCTCTGCTGGGGCAGGGGCAACAAACCCCCGCTCGCGGGTCAGTGTTGCGATGGCGGATGCAGGTTCAACGATGCATGCACCATGGCGGAATGTGAGAACTGTCGCTCCTTTAAATGCATCATTAATATTCTGCTTACGATGGATGGATAAGGCTCGAAATTATGAAGCATTAACACAGATTCTAATAGATCGTGTCGTCAATGATTTCAATATTCATCGGTCCAGACCGATGCAAACCTTCATCTCCTTATTTGGCAAAGTTAATTGGGCTCAAGCCATGAACATCTTCCAACGTTGGGTCAGCCTCTGGGGTCGAGAGCGAGCCAGGCACTCGCCCAGGTGGCAATTCTGCGCGGCCTGATTAGCCGCACTCTTTGCGGTATAGTACGCGCAACTCCTATTCGCCGGTGAGAAGCGAGTCGGGTCGGTATCATTGATAGATAGCGAACTGAGTTTTAGTGATATGTTGGAGTAGTGACCCACATCGTACATGTGAACAACAGTAATTTCAATGGGTCGCAAGGACTGACAGAAGCACTGTTGCGCTATCACGTAAATCCCCCGGTACGTCTCTATCGAAATATTGACACAGCAGATTCGTCGCAGAGCTCCATTACTGGACTGGATCGAAGTACGAAATACTGGCCTTGTGCAGCTCCCCAGCCAACGCCTGAGGCTAATTCTTGACCATGGCCCTTTCCTTGCGGCAACCATCACGGTTCACCTTCCCGCAACGAAGTGTGGCTCTTACAAAGTTGGTACCCTTTGTCGCCGACCTTCTCAATAATGCCTTCATCGAGGGCATAGCGCAGAAGCAAGTCATCGACGCCAAGATTTTCGCCTTCGCCCTTTTCCATGTGCCGACCGACATGCGCTGTCCATTCGTCCCAGGCAGTCGGGCCCTCAAAAGTTTTCACACAGCCGGGTTTCGAGCAGCTGGATCGCTGCGGTGGACGCCTTCGCTGTTTGAGGCAGGCCTGCTGCATGTTCCTTTCCGACTGTTGTTGACCGTTTTCCCCTCTGGTGAGGGCTCTCTTGAAAGGAGCGTGCATGCGCCGAAGGTGCTGCGTGAATAGATCCTTGCGATTGAACTCAATATCCTTCCCCTCTGAGGTAGTTTGTGAACAGATAGAGCAGCGATAGTACTGTAAGCAGAGGTGCTGTGAGGCAATATGGCGTTTCCACTCGTTCTTAGATCCGAAGATGCTCGTACACCCTGCAAAGTAGAATGCGCAGGGAAACGGGCGTGTGTGCGCGGCGGCTATGTGTTTCCTTAGAGAGGATGCATCTTTAAATGGCGTATGACTGCAGTGTGCACATCGAATGTCAGGCTTTCCAAGCATACGTCTCATCCTAGCCCCCGTAGATCCTGTGCCACTATCCAGCACAGGCATTGGCTCTGAACGAGTCAAATTTCGGAAGCCAGGGTGTAAGGCCGGCATAGCAACGGGCAAAACGGCGCGTTGGGGAGAAGTGTTGACAGCAGCGTCGCCGCTTCGGTGACGGACGTGGCTAAGGGCCTTAAGCTGCTCTAGTCCGTTGGCTGCCAGTGACTGATGAATTTTAGCGATTGGGATCGTTTGTTCATCTGGTCGTTCATCCTTGGCCGCCTCGGGAGCCATCGTTGTCGCGGTGCTCGGTTCGGTTACTGCGGTGGAGGTGGCGGGTGCGCCAACCATCTTGCTGTATAGAGAAGCCAGATTACACGAGGTTATATTGCCCAAGTAGTTCCAGATCTTATCATGCTGAACGCTAGCCCAGAGAGACGTGGACATAGACAGAAGCAACACAGTAGGAGGACCTAAAAATACTCCCTCGATAGTGGTTTGAGCGGCTAAGGGTGGTGTATTGCACAGCCAGCTGCGGAAATCCGACATGTCAGGAGTGGCATTACCGACAAAGGTAGTGCAAACCAGAACACGAGCTTCATCAAAGGTCAATTTCGAGCCTGGCGTTAGGCCATGCGGACCGCCTAGAGTGCGGGTTGCTTCTGGCGAGGCGGCATCGGATAAGGACTCCGGTAACAGGGAGACGTTTGCGTAAGAGGTGTTTAGTTGTGATGTTTGGCGGTTGATGATCATGGCGGCATCGTGCAAGTGACGTTTTAAGGCCTCAAACTCATGGCGTCGGCTGTGGTGAGGCGCATCTGGAACTATGTGACGCTGGAGCACGTTAGCCAGGGCTGGCAAGAGAAACGGCAATGCTGGTGGAGGCCAGAAAGACGGAGGGAGGCAAGGGGGATCCAGACATACCGGTTCATGCTGATAGAGCTTAGAGCGAGGGCCTGAGGGGAAGGAAGCAGAGGCGTTGAGCTTTGGGGCAAGCTTGCGCCTTTTCCCGGCGGGCTCCATGCACTGAGAGTCAGTTATCAGAAGGACTGAAGTGTCCCGAGAGCCGATGAAAAGAGAAAAGAACGGGCGGTTCAGTGAAGCAACGGATGGATAGGGAAAGGGAGAGAATTAGAACGGCGGTTGGCGAAACGACGGCGAGTCTGATTACTTACAACGAATACACGGCTATCCACCCCTGCAGCATGACCGTGGCCCGCTATGTGACCGGTCATGGAACGGCGAATTAGACTCCTGGTAAAATGAGAACTCCGGTTAGTGATAGTGCCGGAGACAGCTTCTTTATCAGTGTCGGTCTAAGGTATCCTTAGAATGTATTTAATAGCTGGTACAGAGTAACTAATCGATTTACATAGACAACGTGATAAACATGCGTTTAGATAACTCATACCCTTTCAACTATATCTGTCGCAATAATTCCTCCACCCCGGCACCGAAGCCAACTCACGCTCAGCCTAAGGATCGTCTCCATGAGTCTTTTGTATAATGTGATTAGTATTATTTGTACCAAGCGTCCCAAGCCCTCGTGCGAGGTTCTCACGGCCCGCCGTTGACGGCGCTCTCGAGCACGTAGAACACTGTTTGTAAATTCGGCTCGCCCTTAAGCTGCGAGACGACTTACACAACCTCCGTGCTACTGAGCTGTCCAGGCGTGTTAGCCATCATAGGCACGATGTCACTCGCGTTCAACGGCCCTGGCGTCGCAGAATGAGCGCGCTGGGCGCCGGCCGTTGCACTGTTTCTCAGGGGGTCAGCACACCAGCGGGATGGTCGGGGATATGTTCAAACATGGGGCATTGTACATTGATGTTTCTATGATAGCAACTATGGCAGGCGATGACGGTCTGGCGCCGGATGTATCCTCCCAAAGAAGACTGGAATTTCAAGTCCTGATACCGATTTTTGCGTATATGCCACCAAGCATGGCTAACGCATTGAACTCAGGCACTCTCTCCTACGAATAGTTTCTTACAATCATTTTGAGGACAATGTAACTCTGTTGGCAGCGGACTGCTACGAAACGCATCGTTGGCAACTGACTCCCAGTACAAGGGATGGGTATTCTGCGAGATGTGCACTTTGAGATTCTAATTCAAGCCCGTCTCATAACCGCAGGTTGGGCAAACGTAATTGAAGCCTAACTGCTTTCTTTGCATATGATCTTTCCATTTTCTGCACGTTTTGGACTGAGACCCGCAGCCTATAAAGGAGAAATCGCATCGAAGTCGATTTTCGATTGATGGCTCCTTAGGGTCGATCGATTGATGTTGTTCTGATGATGAGGACGGGCGTCAATTCTCTGATCTTTATATGGAGGCTGTAGTCTGTTAGCCCCGTCACAAGGCCAACTCTGATTCATAACATGGCAGAACTTTTCGTACCCGGTTGTGATGTTGATGCTGAGAGTCGGGATATGGCATGGCAGCTGTGCTGCTAGTATCCTCGTTGAGCAAAAACTCGATCGCCACCATGATGAGTGTTGCGATGGACGCAGATGGAATAAGACAGAAGAAAAGAGAAACAACGGGAAGCAAACGAGACACAGCAAACTCAGCGAGTCAAGAAAAGAGGCCTAAAATGGCCGATTGGTGGCGAAGCGATGGCAAGACTGCTTATTATCAACTGACCAGAGGCTGCAGCTCTCGGGGCAAGAGGCCGGTACAACGCTTCATTGGGAGGAGTGGTGCTATGTCTAATCACTACCACTCAACACCTACAAGCCACAGTAATGGGATGCGTTCAGGAAAGCACGGTGACTATTGATTAGCTGAACCACACAAGACCAGGCTTGCACTCGAGGTACGCATGGCGTGGTTCTACACCACGGGGTCAGACACCGTGCCCTCCTTTCTGGCGACGCGACTCAGCAGGGGCTCCCCGGAAAAGCCTCTGGGAGGGTTCCGCGCCGCGAGCTAGTACCTTGAAGTGATGCTGGCTTGATATGCATGCATGCGAGAGCAGAGCTCTTTGGGTGCTCTGCCGCTTTATGCACTGCAAACTCGGACTTAGGCATTCCGTGCACACAATGTCCGCGTAGCTGACAGATGGAAACGGTTCCTGCATTGCCGGAGCAATGGCTCATTACTTGCATGGATGACTCGCAAGGCCTGTCACCCACCAAGATACTGGACTGTGTATTTTGCGTCAGTCTTGGTGCTCGAAATCCCTCTGCACTGACTATTGCCTAGTCTCCAAGGTCCCGCCTTAAAGATGGCCACCGGAAGCATGCAAATGACTGAAAATGACATTATGGCTTCCTAGATCGCAAACTTGGATAGGACATGACGTTCGTGGGCAATGGGCTACACGATGGGCCGGCTAGCAAACTAATTGACAATGACTGGTCTGTGTATAGAAGATGGCTGTAGATACTAGCCACCGCTAAGACCCTTATCATGGCTTAAAAACTATATACATGGCTATCACCAGCCTTTGGAATGGTAGCCGTCAAACGCGTCCGTAATGAAATGCTGATTCAGACTGCTTGCGTTGGCGTCCTCGCTCTTCTTTAGAAAGGGCTTCTCAGGGAACTGGGGGAGCTCGGTGGCAAGCACGTTGCAGCGAGTGCGCGGCAACAGGACTGCTTGAGCGTGCACGTTGGTAGGGGTGACAATAGATCGGGCGCTGGACCGTGGCGCCTCGATGAGAGGCTGGAGAACGGAAGGACGCGTGCCCTTCAGCATCAGTGGACCCTCATCGGAATCGTTGGGAGAGACGCCCAGGGCTGTTCGCCCACTGGGTCCAGCGCGCGATCGCACGACGGCACAGGCAGAGTGGGATGATTGTTGCTGATATTCTTTTGGCACCCGTTCTGTCTGCGCAAGCATAAGACTGATGAGCGAACGGTGGGAGACCAGGTTGGCCTTAGACTCAACGCGCTGGAAGAACTTCGCGTCAACTCTCGATTTGCCGCTGTCTTGCACAAAGTCCTCCCAATCCGAAGAGTCGTCATCGTCAATAGCGCTCTCAACGTAATCGTCGTCGGTAGCCGAGTCGATGGCACTCTCTGAGATGAGAGACTCTGCGGGCTGGGCATCGCAGGGGGCAGATCTGGAGGAGACAACCATCTGGAACATGCCCTGCTCGCTAGGATAACATGAGGAGCCAAGATTACACGTAGTTGGTGCCTTCTTCTGGGTGAGGGCGAGATCAGAAATCGAGACGAACAACTTTGCAAAGTCGACGGCTCTAATGTGGTGCTCGCTGCGGCTTCTCGTGGAGTCAATGTGGCGGAGTCTAAGGAGAGTCTCGTGAGGATCAAATTCGGAAACAGAAGAGGACCCTTAGTTTTATATACTTGTGTGCATCGAAACGGGCGGCCTCGGTGTCCTCATGTAATAAATGCAGAGTAGCCATTCTATCAGCCTAGCTAGCCGTCGACTTGTCGGCTTGTCACATGCAGTAGCGGTAACAGTAATAAACAGATGAATCAATTAAGACTAGACCTTTACCTCTATCTACAAGTGTCAAGGTGCTAACAGGTCTTATCACTTGGCGGCAGTGATTTGCGAGCTACCTCCATAATTGTGAACTTGGCAAGCAGATCAGGCAACATCGTATCGTTAAGAACGGTGGGCAGTTCAAAAGTATTTTTCGAACATAACTTCCCGCAGACCTTAGCCACATTTTGAAGTGACTCCTCATCGGAGTGCCCGATCTCTGAGATATATACCAATTTCCTTTAGGTACCTCAAGGTCGGTGCTGCAGCTTTGGCTTGCTGGCACGGGTGTAATGGCGCTGCAATGGGTAGAAACAATCCGGTAGCCCAGCCACCTTATCCTCATGTAGCTGAGCTTGAGACTTGTCGCTGATGGTAACAGCCGAATCATTGACAGTCCAGTCACGGTCTTGCCATCAAGAGTGCAGCGCAGATCCCACACTGAATAACAACCTTGTAATAGATCCAGCCTAGACATTGACCGGAAAACAACAGGGTGGCTATCGTAGATACCAAGATCGCCACTCCAGCGATTTGGATGCATTTGATGCATTTGATGCAGTTGATCTCTTGCTGGCTGTAATTCCTTGGCCTAGGCAGTGGCTTATGATCGCCAAGACAGCGCCGTAAGATGTACGAGCAATGCAAAAGACGTTACCAATTGCCGAGAGAACTACAGTTTTGATGCTTTCAAGTACGCTCATCAACTCAATGGTAATGCTGTAGATCAAACTATTCACGAAAGATCAATTTTTTGCTGTACTGTTTTCAGGCTGCTCACGCAGGCCTGCACTTTATATGCTCCTGTATCCCAAATGCGTCTCTGACTGGTGATGTTGACCATCTGTATCAGCTATTGAAATATAGGAGAGTGTGACCCATACATCTTCCTCTGCTGACTCCAAAGTGCGTGATAATTGTACAATTGGTTTGACGGAGGCGCCGTACCTTGCAAGTACCAAAATCTCGGTTCCTGCGCGAATGCCAATGTATGCACCTTTTGAGACACTCTCCAGTGGCGTCTTCAAGCTCCCTAACTTCTTCTCGGAACCCCTAAGTATTTCGCAAGCTTTGGATAGATTAGCTTCGTCACAGTCGTTATATGTCTGTGCGTCAAAGGCCGTGGCGAAAACGGCGTAATTGTTGTTCAATGCGAGTGCTGTGTCGTATTTTGGTAGGCAGTCCTGTAGAACACAGTGGATTTTGCCTATCCAGAGCTCTAGCTTGATTACGTTGGCAACCTATTCACTATTAGCACAGTAAAGAAAAAGCAGATAAGATAGACTACCTCTCTATCCTGATCAGTACCTAAGAGGTAATGGATAGCCATAGTGTATAGAGCACACACAGTAGTTGTAGCTATAGTAGAAGTAATGGGTGTTACTGGTGTATTTATAAACACTACTGTATTTCAAATTACTAAAATCCTACCGATCCCTCTCTTAACTGGCTCGCAGTCTGTTGAGGTAGAAATAGACCCTTCCTGCTTCTTGTGACTATCAAGGTACCAAGTACACAGTAGCAAATATGCTGCATATTCTGCAGGGCTTGTGCTTGTGCAGGCTGGATAATGCCTGACGCCACTGCCAGCGTGGCAGCCAGAAGTATTAGCGGAACAACTAAGCGTTGTGTCGTCCCAAGTCTCCGTAGAATCTTTGGCCGTGTACTCGATGCAGTTGATGCAGTTGCGCGGCTCCCTGATGGGGCTGGTCGGTGTTAACAAAGTTTCAACAGAGGTATTACCTTTCACTTTGCAAGTAAAGAGAAAATGCCTTCCACAGGAGCGAAACGGGCAGTCAGTACACGCGGCTACGGCAAGCACATTCACCTCTGTGGTATCGGCACCCGCGGTGCACTCTGTGCAGAGGTCACCCGTATACGTTTTCCTTACAACATGAGCTAATAGTCAAAAGGAGCATAGATAAAAAATTAGTGAATATAGATCTCTTGAATTTAGAGCAAGTAAGGATATCTAATTATTTCTGGCAGCGTCGTACTGTCTGGGCGTGGCTCGCCTCCCTCGGCCTTCACCGGTATATCCAGCCTCTCCCCCGAGCTTTCAAGAACCCCAGGTACGTCCAGCCCCTCCTCCGATAGCAGGCTTTCAAGATCCCCAGTAGTGATTTGTTCCAGGTTCACATTCTCCAGGATCAGCCTCTGGCGGGACTGCCCGAGTTGAAGTGAAGTTCCGTCCCGTGGAGCTTGGCCCGCCTTCTTGGCCTGTGTGTTGGACCTGTGTTCGGATACCAGCCCCTTTCCCTGGAACAAATATATGAACAGGAAACCAATCATTGACTGAAGCACGTACTGTAATTGTTGCAGTCTGAGTGCCTGTTCAGCGGGTATAGCAGCGGCCGCAAACCCGAGCCCAAGCCCTGGCAGCACAGGTAATATGAGATATTCCCAATGTCGTCGATAGCGTGCATAAGCTGGAGCCGCATCGTTGGTGCAGCAAGCGCCTGTAATTGTCAAGACTCCGCATAAGAAGGGGATGAATATCCAAAGCCACTGCCTTTGCATGGTATAGTAGCACCAAAGCCCTGTACCCAGAATGGCGGCGGTGGGCAGGCCAATACATACTACCCCGAATCCGAGTATCCAGACACCCTGGAATGGACATATGAAAAGCCAAAAATATATCTAAACCCATGATTAGTATTTGTCTAACTCAATGCTCAGCAACTCGTACAATTTCCGCTCCAAGGCAAAGCCCATTAATAACCTCCCAGCCGCAGAATAACACAAATGCAGGCGTATGTGTTCTCGATATCCGACGAGTGATGAAAAATGCCGTGATGAATGTAGCCGAGACCAGGAGGTAAATGACAGAAGCAGCTTTAAGCAGGCAGCGTCTAACATTCGAAAACGATCGAGGATAGAAATGCGCGTAAACGAGGGCAAGAGCGAGGTATCCCTCTCCAAGGCCAAATACAGCAATAGCGGGAGCGTACTCTGCCGCGTCGATGGAGCGCATCGCAAGGAGCGGTGTGGTTTTTGCATTTGGCTCTCTTTCATCTACCTGGACACTATTATAAATATATAGTTTCATTGGATTTAATCATCTCTATGGGGGCTGCAAAATATCCGTGGGGAAAGAAATTACAATAGAATCTTTCCATAAGTGACGGAACTCAAGAATAAACTACCTTATTCCTTGTTGCAATGATTGCGAGACAAGAAACAAGCACTAGTTTCCAAGCGACTGGCTGATTAATTCGCTACACAGCCAGGATAGAGAAATTCGCTGGGAGAATATGGTGGCCCAGCAGACATAGATTCATGTCGCCACAAGAATCTTTGTAGGCTCAATGAGTGATGTACTGGCTCAAACGCCTCCCTAGAACACGTAGAGGAGATTGTTGCGAGACAGTCTGCATCTGGCCCGCGCTAACCCAAAAATCAA